CCTACACAAAATGCTTTATCACCAGATCCTGTTATCTTTAAAAAATAAACAAAAATCAACTCACTAAACCACTAAATCAAATTAACCTCCCAGTCCAAAAAAATACTATACATTTAAATACATACATGCATACATATATATATGTATGTATGTATTTATGGTAAAAACTCACAATTGCAACTCGTAATTCAGGCTCTGATTGATACCAATTAAATATTGCGTCTAGTTCAAAATGTGCTGGCATATGAAGTGCATTCAGTCGATCTGGTCGTTGTATAGTTATTACTAGAACATGTGGATGTTGTTTTGGGAATTGTAATATTGTGTATTTGGTTGTTGGTGGTGAATTGTTATCATTAGCTGACATGTTGGCCTCTTTTATGTTTATTATATTTTTAAAGAAATACTATCAAAGTTAATCTGATGATAACGACGATAACAGTCACTGGACATTGCAGATCAAATGTCACTTCATTAACATTAATAATATATACTATTAATGGTATAGTAGGTGTCTAACTAATATTGTAAATTTATTATATTAACTAAAATCCTTACATTTACTGCAAGTCAAATTGTTACAAATAATTTCAATTTTCTAAATATTAAAAAAAATAAAAAATAAATAGTAATAATAATAATGGTAACGCCTTTTTATTGTATACACCATTTACCATAGATCTATTTTTTTTAGAAAAGAAAAAATTTAATTAATGCAATGTTATGGTAGTAGTATTAATAGCAGTAATAATTAATTATTAATTATATAATAAATAAATATATTCATACTCCATTTAATATGTTTTAGATAATCAATTAATTATATTATTTATATTCAAAACCTTCAACTTTCAATAATATTTTTTAAATATAATAATAATATAATAAAGCTAATAACATTAAAGCAAATATATGATAATTATGATAATAAATTATAATTTACAAGTTGCAATGCTTCAAAGACTTCAATAGGTAGTAAATCAATTTAGTTGTATCTCGCTTTTACTCTCTCTTGCATTAACCTAATGTGGATGTGGCTTAATTCACCTACTGAAACAAGTTTTTACAATTAAAGTGGGACGTTTTGTCATTTTAAATTTCTATAATTAAAAACCGATTCAGGATTCTGGCCATGAATTAATTTTCTTATTTTCTTATGATAATTAATACAATGAGAGATCATTTGTATTTTTGTAAATTGGCATGCGTAAATTATAGACCAGTACATGGAAATGGTATATATATTTTGTACTCATATATTGTATATGTTTTATGTGCCATTTGTAAAAAAAAAAAACTAATTTTTAAGAATTTACATCAATACTGGGTGCACAACATTCTAAGAAAATCAAACTAATTAATGTCATACAGTCAGACCTCCATAAATGCACCCTCCATAAATGCACACCCTCCATAAATGCACGCTATGTCTTGGTCCCAACCTCAGGACTTAGTGATAAATGCACAACCTCCATACTCTGCACTGCATGGTATTTTTTTAGTCCCACTCATATGATAACTCCCTCCATAAATGCACCCACGTGACTAATGTATAAAATTCATCATGTAACTAGGATAAATTTAGAAATCATCGGCAAATTTTTTGATTTGATTGGATAATTTCCAATATGTAATGCAATCCCAATTTCATGACTTTGTGTCACTAAATGTTTTCATAAAATGCAAGTTGATGAATTTTTGAATATCCTGAAGAAAATATTGTCTGTGAGGTTCCAGATGATGATAAAATAATCAAAGAACTTGCAGAAATGTATAAAAATAAAATTAATGTACCTGCTGACAATTTTGAGAAGATGACATTAAGCCTTGAGGAAGCATTAAAGGTCTTGAAATTGTACATTCATTTTTATTACAGCAAGAAAAATAATGCTACAAACAAATAAAATTGGTTAATAAAATTGAAAGATATATATCAATATAAAAAAAAGTAAGTTCATCAAAACAAACTACAATGGATATTTATTTAGTATTACTGTATTTAAAATATTGCGTATCATTTGCGACCAATGAAATTGCTTCTCTCCATAAATGCACACCCTCCATAAATGCACGCTGTCCCTTGGTCCCAAGGGGGGTGCATTTATGGAGGTCTGCTGTAGCAGTTTTGAGTTTTTTGTTTTTTTTCTTTTATATCTTCTGCTTGATTTTTACTTCATTTTTCACCACATGCTACAACTTCCTTAACTTGTTCCTGCTCTATTTTTACTCTTTCTTCTAACTCTTCTACCTCTGCTTCCAAATTTGCTTGTTCTGCTTCTAATTCCTTAATTTCCTCTTCATATTCTTGATTTTGTTTAAAACTTTATCAAAATTTTCCTTAGTTTTATAAGATAATTCATTCCAACTACCAATTAACTCATCCAGAGAAAGATTTTTAAGGCAATAATTATTATAACACTTTGATTGATTGAATCTCATCCTTCATATCCTCTTTCTAATATTCCTTTTAGAGTTAAATTATCTTCTATTTTGCCTTCTCTTAATCACTTTCTAAATAATTCTTTGATTTCTTCAGAATTTAATTTAATGAGGTTAATAAAAATATCTCTTTTAGCCTTATTTCTTACTTTCCAATAATGACTTGACTGCTTATAATAAGGATAATATTGGTAAGTGTTAAGAATTAAATTTCTACAAGCTGGTTCTGTAGGATATAACTTACAAAACTGAGACCACTTTTCTTGGTCACAATAAACTTTCATAATCTCACCAACTACATCTACATCAGGATTGTTAGTGTAATGACTTTCACTTAAAACAGTAGTTATTCATGCTCTAATTTCTTCATTATTCAACTGTTTAAATTGCAAGGGGCTTTTAATTGTTCTATCTCTTCTAATAATTGTTTGTTTCTCTGTTCAAGTTCATTTATGATGTTTGTCGTGACTTTCTTTTATTACCTTTTTTTATTTATTTATTCTTTTAATATACTTATATCCTTTTTATTGATGATATATTAAGTATATAAATTATTTTAGTACTTTTTTTACTTTAAAGGTGGAAAAAGCTAGCAATATTTGTTAAAAGATTAAACTTATTAAACTTATGACAGCAAAGAAGTAATAAAGTAATGAAGGTGATTTTGTTCTGAACATTTTATTTGTTGGCAGTATAGAATGGTCTTGGACAAGTAGTATCTTTGTATTCATCTTTCACAAATGGGTGAATATTATTATAAAGGTATTCTTGTCTTTTATGGCCCAAAGGAGGTGGTGTTAACACTAAAATAGATAAAGCTTTAATCTCTTCAAAAATATCTGCTTTCTTGGTTTTCAATAAATTAAATTCAGTAAAAGGTCCATTAGCAACTTCTTGAACTTTCACTGTATCAAGATTAGATGCTTCAAAAAGAAAATGTTGATATTTCTGTATGCTTGGTAATTTCTTCCCAAAATTGCTTTAATATCTAAGTATTGAAAACCTTTTCCACCTTCATAACGCTGAGCTTTATTCAATCCTGTTGGACTAGATCTTTTCACCACCTCAACTACATGATCTACACAATCTACTCTTGTTTTCCTATAGAGTTTTTTTATTAAACAAAAACTACCATCACACTTGAATTTGGTATGTCCAGGAATCATGAAATACTTTCATAATAACCACAAATTACCAAATACAAGTAAAACCAAACAGTGGTGCTATTTTTATTCTGTCCTCCAGCATTATCACAAGTAATCTTTAAATGTTTTTCACTTTTATTCAATTTCTTAATTCCATCAAAAATCATACTAAGAGTTCCATTGGGTCCTTTTCCTATAATTTCATCTTCATTAAGAACATAATTAATTTGCTCCCTTACTGCTTCATCTTGAATGCCAAATAAATGAACTTTACATGGACTAAGGTAATAAATTTTACTTACTTGTTGATCCAAATGTGGCACATGAACATTTTGAGCTCAATCATAACTATAATGAGCAGTAGCATCAATGCTGCAATATTGTGTTTTACCCTTTGAATAATTTTGATCAACTAGTTTTCTTTGTTCTTCTGCTAATTTAGTGTTTTTATTATAATAATTTCTTTCTAGTTTGGCCTTTGACAGATGTTCTTTAAATCTTTTAAGTAAATCTTTAGCTTCTTCCTCTTGGCAAGCATTATAATGTAAGCCATCTCTAAAATGTTGACAAGTATCACACAAGTCAGTTCTTGGACTCATAATTTGAATCTCTGGTGTCAATTGATGTCATAGTTTTCTGAAAGCATCATATTTTAAGGATTTCAAATTACTATTTTCTTCCAGACCAGCCAGAAAATCTCTGTGCACAGATTTATAACTCATTTCAGCTGGTAAAAGACAATTGATTGAGTATTCTATTGGTACTTCTTCCTGGACTTGGTAATCCATGAACTTCTGTATAATTTTCTAGAAAATTCTTTGCTACTTCAGCAACATTTTTATCAATCATCATCTTAGTTTCCATTGAGGCATCCTTTTTATGTTTCCATGGACTCTGGGCAAAAGACATTGTTTATCAGATGGTTTCTAATATTTTCAAAATAGGTTCTACCAATTCCTAACATATTGAGATAAGTTTCTTGACAAAGTAGTGTATTATGATCTCAATGATAAAAAGTTCTTTAGTTAGATCTGGTTTTCTTTTAAGGTGTCTGCTAGTGCTCTTAATTCACCATCCATTGCCTTAAGTTGGGCCATTAAAAATATGTCTTGTTCTGGTTTGAAAAGAGCTTGAAAGGATTCCCTTAATTCTGCAAATTGTTCTCTGGGAATTCTTGAAGAACAACCACAATTGTAACCGTTTTCTAAAAAATCAATGGCTTTTTGATATTCGTTAGAGCCATTATATTTATTATTGCTCTTCATATACACTTATCTCTATATAGTTCACTTTGTAGGTTTTTAATTATTTTACTAATAAACTGATTTATTATTAAATAATTGCTATGCAAATTGGAAATATTATTTATTTATTACTGATTTTTTATAATTTCTTTACAAGATTATAACATTTAAATTATTGATAAAAATTACCCGAGTTATTGATACTAAAATTAAAAAAATTTAATTGTTTAATTTTTTTACTATATGAATTAAGCATCGATAAAATCTTGATTATATATTTCAATTTCTTAAAAATAATCAAAAAGGTAATTTACTTATAAAAGAACTCTTTAACTGAAACTGTTCAAGTAATGTCCGGGGGATTTTTGTTCTAGATTCACAATCATCTAAATCTCTAAATGGGCATTTGCCTAATATTCTTTGAGCATACTCATTTCCTATTCCTTTCATACCAGTAAGTTGAGTGGTGGTAGCAGTATTTAAATTTGGAGTATCCATTCTTGCATACATAAATGTTCATCCAGCAAAAATCCCAAAATAAGCATTTCAGCAGTCTTTATCAACTATGGCTGATAACTTTGGAAGATCATCCTTAGATTCTCCACAAGTGTACAATATAAATACATTATCATCAGCTGCTGTCTTTTCATGCTCTTTCACATAGTTTTTTTGGTTAACTGAACCTTTCTTCAACAACTTACATTGATGAACCTCATCACATACTTATCTGTTTTATCTTTATTGGTACATATCCCACAAACAAAATCACCAGCTGGTGCATTAGGTGCATTTATTATACAATATTTGTAATAGTCATTAATTTCAATTATGTTATTCTCACATTGTACATTTTGCCACTGACTTGATCATGTTGACATCCATGCCTTTGCCATTTCCAACTGTAAATGTTGATTGTGAATCCCAGTATCACCAAATGAATGTCTTGCACCATTATAAAGTTTTTCTAATGTAATCCATTCATTGTTATCAAATATTTCAGACTTGAGAACTCAAATATGTGCAACAAAATGTTCAAAGTGTTGCCAATATTGCAATCCTGGGGGAGTGAAGTATCTTCCATGTGCTGCATTTCTTGAATATAATTGAAGTCCAATCTCTTAAAATAGGATCATTTGTGAAGTGCACTATCATCCATAACCAAATATAAGGGCAAATCAAATATCCTCTACAACTTTTACTATCTACCAATCTCTCAAATTTAACTAAACCCAAATGGGTATAATCTTCTGGAAAAAATTTTGTGCCAGGAATGGGATGATCCAATTCTATTATCTGGTGTGCTAAAATAACACAAAGGAGAGGCTTAAATTCATTTGCTTTAGTTAACCAGTAATTGTAACGATCCTCTAGCTGTGTATGTATATTATTCATCAAATCCAAAAAATTATAATTGTCAATGTCTCTGTTATGTAGTGAATTTTGTAATACTTCTAAGGCATGTCCATGTCCACCCATATCATTAACTAGTATATCAATAATAGGATGATCTGGAAAAACTTTTTGAGGTATCTTATTGATTAAATATGTTGGAGGTGACAAAGAAACAGTAGGAAGAAAACCCCGTTTTTGGGTAGAACTAGCCAGGTATTGTTCAATTGGATGATGAGTGGTTGCTGTACATGTATCAATAATAAAAAGTCCTGATTGTGATTGTACCAGATTTGAAATTGTAATTAAATAAGAATATAATAAAGATGTTTTATTTAATCCATCACCATCTCTTGTCTCAATTGCTTGCATACCATCTACAGTAATAAATATTGCTAAATCTTCAAGTTTTTTACCAAGATTCTTGGCAACTCCTTCTAATATTTTAACTGATCCAATTTTGTATGATTTTTTAAATTCATTCCAATTCCCATGCCAATTAGGTAAAAGTTGAAATAACATCCTAGTTCCTATTGCTATATCAGGATCTTTCTCATCATTTATGTCTAATGCTGTGCCATTCTCAAAAGAAATATTAAAAACTAATGCACTTTTCAATCGTTCTTGTAATTCTGAATGATTGACAGCACAATCTTTTGCAAGTTGTAGTAGTTCTGTTGCTATTCTGGATTTACCTCTTTCTGATATAAAGTTTTCATAATGATTTAATAATGCATCTTTAAATGTGCTCATCAATTCATCAGATTTTTGAAATTGCCATGACAATCCTTCAATTTTTAATAATGGTTCAGGTTCTAAATATCTTAGATCATTAGGTAGTTCACCTGATAAGAATAGATCATTGACAAAAAACAAAATGGACAAAAGAGATGATAATTGCTAATGTTAAATAAATTGATGAATATCACAAGCAGTTATGAAAACAATAAAAGGTCCTACCTCCACCAACTAGACAATGAAAAGAATGAGTGTAATTCCGAAATGAATAAGATTAATAGTGTGAATCCAAAAAAAAAAATTTTTAAACCAAAGTATTGGAGGAAAAAAGCATAAGTAAACTATATGAATGAATAAATAAAATGAACGAAAAAAAATTTTTTTTTATGCAATTTGTTCATTACCTTTACCAGCTAATTCTTTCCTTAATAACTCCCCCCATATCAGCGCTTCCTCCTCCCACCTCTTCTTACTTTCTTTCAACCTATTCAACTTTTCTTCGGATCTGTTTCTCTGTCTTTCCAAAATAACTTTTTCTTGGCTAAATTTCCCTCCCACCAATTTCTCTTCCACCTCGTCTAACTTCTTTTCTTTTTCTTTCAATTCCTTCTCAACTTCCTTTAATTTTTTTTTTTGCTTCTTTTTCTTTGGATGCAATAATTGTTGTCATTTTTAAAAAACTTTTTTTATTGATTTAGATTGTAATTTTTACAATTAGATTGTTTTTACGAATAGACCAATGATAAATTAGTGGGCACATGACTTGCATTTTTTTTTACAAAGAAAATTATTCCCATTATTCATACTTCCTACCTCCACCAACTAGACAATGAAAAGAATGAGTGTAATTCCGAAATGAATAAGATTAATAGTGTGAATCCAAAAAAAAAAATTTTTAAACCAAAGTATTGGAGGAAAAAAGCATAAGTAAACTATATGAATGAATAAATAAAATGAACGAAAAAAAATTTTTTTTTATGCAATTTGTTCATTACCTTTACCAGCTAATTCTTTCCTTAATAACTCCCCCCATATCAGCGCTTCCTCCTCCCACCTCTTCTTACTTTCTTTCAACCTATTCAACTTTTCTTCGGATCTGTTTCTCTGTCTTTCCAAAATAACTTTTTCTTGGCTAAATTTCCCTCCCACCAATTTCTCTTCCACCTCGTCTAACTTCTTTTCTTTTTCTTTCAATTCCTTCTCAACTTCCTTTAATTTTTTTTTTTGCTTCTTTTTCTTTGGATGCAATAATTGTTGTCATTTTTAAAAAACTTTTTTTATTGATTTAGATTGTAATTTTTACAATTAGATTGTTTTTACGAATAGACCAATGATAAATTAGTGGGCACATGACTTGCATTTTTTTTTACAAAGAAAATTATTCCCATTATTCATACTAGCATCAAATACCATTAAAATTATTAATCGTCTGTACATAAAATATAAGCTTTGTCTATAACTGACCCGCTTGCTATACCGAAACTTCTGTTTGATATTACATTTGGCATTTAACATTTTATAAATCAAATCTATTAGCTACATAATATATTTTAAACCTATTAATTGATAATTAGTTCAAAATTAAGATATCAAATAGGGATGAAGAAAGTAAACTAAGTGTAACAACAATCAACCTTCAGCAACAAATTCATTTAGTTTTCAAAGAATAAAAAAAAAAATAAGTTTTATTAAAATTATCATAAAAAAGGGTTTTTTCTTTAATAGATTGATTTTTATGCATTAAAGTTTGTAAATATAATCAATATAATTAAAATTCAAATAAAAATATCCGAAACTTCCAAATCTATTCTGTTTTAACAAGATGTTTTCTGGAATCATGACAAGTACAACAAATCTTTTTGTTCTCTTAAATACTCCATTTTTCAAAATTACAATACAAAATTTAATATTCAATATTTTTCATTTCGAGACTCTTCTGCTTGTGATAAAATTATATTTTTATATTTGTCTATGCACATAAAAATTCCATTAAATATAGGACCATTTGAAATTGTAATCCGAGCTCTAAGATTTAAATAGGAACGAAGTTGTTGAATTTTAGATGTACGTGTATCTTGTGTTATATCTGGTGATTAACAAAATGATTTTAAAAAAGCAAGTTTATTGACAAACAATTCGTTATAAGCATAATAATAAGCATAATTCATAGGCATAATTAATAATAAAGACTTTTTTCTATGCAGGACAACTATAGATGGGCGTTAAGGTCAGAATAGTATGTCTAAAATGTCTAAATGTAAGAATTCTAGATGCGGTTGATGAGTTCTAATCAAATTTGGACATTACATCAAACTTCGTTCCAACGGATTTAACAGTTAACGGTGTTGGGGACATTACTTTTGGCAAAAAAATCTACGCCAGAATATAATAATGTTGGTTACACGAATCAAATATCCGCGCTCTATGTGAAATTGATTTAAAATATTTCCTCTGCTTTATTATTATTATATAAAGTGATCTCACAACTGTGCACGGATGTTTATAAAACAAAAATGAGTCACATCCAGAATAATCCCAACTACAATAACAATCAAGTTTATAGCAACTATAAATACAATTACAACAACAATCAATATTGCAAAAGCAGCAGTAGCAGCAGCAACAATAACACCTTCAACTACAATTATAACAACAATTCCAACAACGATTATATGAACAAATATAAAAATTACAACAATGGCAGTAGCAGTGGCGGTAGCAATAATAATAATAAATATATTTACTACAATAACAATCAACAAGCAGATGATGATGCCACTATAAGAGATGATGATGATAATGCTACTGAAAACGATGATGACTTTGAAGATAATGATAAAACCTTAATCGTTAAGAAAATAAGTTTTAAAAATAGTGATATTGATGATATTTATGCTGCTAGAATCCTCGAAACAAAATATGGTGAAGTCCCAGATGAAGAATTAAGAAAATTTATGAAAGAAATTGAAATCTTGAAAATGTTAGATGGGGAACAATTAATGAGATTAGCAAACGAAGATATATATGATGAGAGCTTAGTTGTTATGCGAGATATAAATAATATAAATTCTGGATTTGGTGATGCTGCTGGTGCCAATAACAAAAATAACAAAATAAAGTCATTTGGGATTTTTTTGATTCTCACAATTATTTCATTTATAATATATTTCATTAAAAAAATACTTTTATAATCAATATAGCATTGCATACAAATATTTTACCAAGCACCATTAGTTGAAGCAATTATGGCTTCTTGTAAAGTTAAATCAACATACATGATCATCATCTTTAATTATTTGTACTATTGTTATTGGAATAAGAACTGATGTTAAGAGTATTGTTATTATTATTATCATCATTTTTTTCAGATTTATCAATAGTAATAGCCAAAATTATTCCAGTAACATTGTTATTATTAATATTATTTTCTCATCAACTTCATTTTCTCCTATGATTTTATCTTGATCATTATTACAATTTTCCATGATATGCTCACTTCACCTTTCAAGGTTCCAAATCCACCAACAATCTAAATATTTTTAATACTATGATGTTCAATATGATGCTTGGAATACTTGTTCAATTCCTCTTCATGGCAATCTGGTTGAATCAATGCAATAAACTCAAGTACTACTTTAGCATTCAGAATTGATTTTTTTGAATTTACAATTGCTTTTCATTATTAACATAACCATTACCATCATAAATTGTAAAATCACTCCATGACTGGATGATAATCAAGCACCATGTGTATTAACAGCTCCAAATTAATTTAATTAATCTAAATTTCTCAATAGCAACAATATTATTATATACAAAAACTTACACTAAAGCAGCATTAGAAATATAATAAAAGACTGAGGTCAAATAAATAAAGATAATATTCCTAATGTTTTATCCTCCTAAAAATTTTTCAACTGCTTCTTTGGAATTAATATTTGCTATCTCTAACAGCTTGGGAATCTAAATTATAAATGATAAAGTTTTATTTCATGCACCTGACTAATTATGATTGTTAAAGCTGGTCCAATAGTAAATCCAGCAACAATAGATGCACAAAATTTGATAATGACAACCATCAAATGACACATAAATTCAATACTGCAAGTGTTGTTGGTTCATCATTAATTTTCTGCATTGCCTTTTATGTGATCTAGAAATATGAATATAAATCTCATAATACTTTTTCATATTTTTGAAAACATTATACTTCATTAGAAGTATCCTTTCCAGCTAAATGAAGTTGATATGATTGATATGCAATGATTTGAGGACATAAAAGGATTGACTTTTTTTAACCTTGTAGCGATACCACTGTTATTTCCTGTCATATTGGAAGCTCCATCATTGTGTAAAAGAAGAATGAGAGAATGTACTATAATAAAATATTATATGTAATGTTGTAGACTGTGCCACATTTCTGAATTTTGGGTGAATATAAAATAAATATCACCATCAGACATGACCTATATTTTCTAACTGCATACATATTCTGCCAAATGTCTTAAACAATTAATTTTTTGCATCAATTCTATCCTTTTCACTCCTTGTTTTTTGCAATTTGTTTTCTTTTAGGAATACACTGTATAAATCAATATAAGAATGATTCATAGTTTTTTATGCAATCCAAGTAGCATCTCTTTTCTTATTTTAAATCTTTAAGCATATCACCATTTATTTAACGAATAAAGCATTTGTTCATGATGTGTTTGCTGTGCTAGATTTCCAAGTATAATGAATTTTTAATGGAATAATGTATAAATGCATATATTTTTGCAATAAATTAAATGACAGCCCTTGAATAATCATTTTAATGAATACAAATACAATCTATCATTGAGGTAAAAAAATATTATCAATAGTGATTTGATGTATTATATATAATTCCCCTAACCTGTATTCTTCAGTTTAAATCCATATTTTATAACACTACCTGGACAAAAGTATAGGGACACCTGCAGATCATCACAAATAATTGAATAAAGTGACATGACAAAAACTAA